AGCGGTCATGACTATTTTAATGTCTTTTGAAGTGACCAGGCAGAGCGCTATACACAGAACGCGGAGAATGGGGGAGAAATATAAATCTTGTGATGTGGTTCCTCTATCCCTTGTCTCTAGCACCCGCGTTGAAGCAGGTAGAAGATTTAGGTTCTCACGGGCGTAAGTTCAAGGTGACTGACTATTTCTCTTCCCTTTCAGTTCCCCAATATCCTCTTCAGATACCAGCTAGTTCCATATAAACATAAGTCAATAGCTCAAAAGAACATTGAATAGGCTATAAGTAAGATACTTGACATTTACAAAAGACTTAACAACACACTGATTAAACACTCAACCCAAGGTTCCCAAGTTATCTTCCATATAATAAAATACAAATATCCAACAGGACACAAAATACGCCCAACAAAGCAAAGCATTCGTCACCCTAACCCACCGGAGTCGTTAGCTGTCTAATACTGTATCACCGATCCAGCAAACTCATTTCCAGTAAATCATGGACACTCAACTAGAATTGGTCATCTGAGACTGCTTTCCCAAAGTTATTTTTCGCTACTTAATCTATCACCTAAACATTCTTGAAAAAACGACAACAAAACAAGCTTCAACAGCAGCCCCCCCCTCCCCCCACTAACGAATGAAAGACTTTCAGACTCTCCCTCCCTCAACGAAAACATCTGGTCAATTCACCAATGAACCGCAAGGGTAGCAACACCAGTTGTGATAACACGGTATTATCCTACCACAAAGCAGAGCTTATGAGTAATCCCTGCCGCCTGAGCTATCCACTCTGCACTGGCCAGCTATTACCGCCTCTTAATATCGCTAGGTTGGCAGTTCAGCTCAGATTGAATATAAATACTATTAGAGTTCATTTTCGCTTTACCTAAAAACAGCACGCGTATACCTTCCCTTACCTTACCTTCCACATGCATGGTAATTAGAGGACGCCAGCGTTGTAAAAAACTACTCAACAACTTGAGTACTACTTAGAGTCGATATATAGCAGTGGTCTATTGTGAATGAGGAAGTGCTTACTAAGCAACTCGGTGGGATAAATATCCCACATACGAGTGTGCTCCTCCATCAACAACACCACAATTATCGTTCCTCATCGCACGATTATTGGCTCTTTTGACCCGCCCACATACCCCTCGAGACAGTCTCGCCTTTAGTTAGATATGCCCCTTTACAGGGAGCGAGGCCTAGGATGCTAATACTTCTTCATGATACACTAAATGGAGCCTTCTGATTGGTCCATAATGTGTGCGAAGTCCAAGCATTTGAAGCCAGCCAGCAATATAAGAATTCAACAATAAGCCTCCTTTTGAACGTGACGAATGGACGATGAATCGCCGTTATACCCCCCCTCTCTTCAAATCACTCTACAAAACCCCAAGAAATTCCCATTCCCCATACAACTAAAAATAAACAAATGCTAGACCCAATTCATTAGCTTGAAACTACCACCCAATACCCTCTTCAATCCTCAACATCATCCATCCCATAAATTGCAATAAAATACTCTTCTATCCTCCCCTTCCTTTCCTTTCCCTTCCACATACCACGTTTCACACCCCAATCCATTTCATCACATCTTATCTTTTCCGTTTCCCCTCTAGCCCTGCTCTAATGAGGTAAGTGTTGGAATGATGGAGGTGATGTGAAGTGTGAAGTAAGTCCAATGATTGAATTTACGGAGGCAAGGGAAGGTAAGACAAATACTAGTAAAAGAAAGTGCACAAAAAACTCCACCATATTTACATAACCCCAGCAACTAAAAGATTCCCTACCTACCCTTTGATAAGTGGGAGGAGTGGAGTAGAGTTCACTGCCTAGGTACACTTTAATAAGAGGGAGGAAAGGGAAAAGGGAAAGGTGCTCTGCCACTTCTGCGCTCCAGGGGAGGGAAGTGTGAGAAAAGATAGGATAGGAAGGAAAGGAAAGAATACAATTCCAAAAAATCAAGACTCTGGTATTCTCCTAATCTAAAAACTAAAAAGACGCAAAACAACTACTTACTGTACTAAAAGGAACTCCTCAACGCCCAACCAGCACAAAACAAAAAGGCAAGAAAAAGAAAGAAATCCCAAACCCCCCATCCACCAACCCTCCCTCACCCCAAAACCCCCTCAAACCTGCCCCTTCA